GCTTCTGCACCATGAGGGTCAGCTCCCTGGCAGGGGATAGGCCTCAGGCTGCAGTGGCTGATGACCTCAGGCTGCAGTGGCTGATGATAGCACTGAGACTTTAAACCCTGCACCACCAGGGAGGACCCAAAGTCATCTCTTTAAAACAAGACCAGTCAATCACAGCCCTAGTGAAATCCTTCAGAAGCCCCTGATAGCCCAGTGACATCAAAGCCCTACTTCCCAGCCAGTCACCAAAATACTAAGGGGCCCCTAACACTTCTGTGGTCTCTCAATCCACTCTGTCCTTGCCATACCCAATCCCCATACACCTTATACTTCCTCCCCTTCTTGCTGCCCCCTGTTAATCCTCCTTGTTCTTCAGGACTCAAGCGTAGCTGCCACTGCTCTGGAGCAGCAATGTAGCTTCCTGGAGAACCTGTTTACTTCCTGGAGAACTCACAGACTACTGGAAGTCAGAAACATTATTTTATTCTTCTTTGTATTCCTAGTTCCATTACAAGGTCTGGCATACAATGGTATCAGAAAAAACCCACAAATAAAGATTAAATGCTGCTCCTGATATTATGCATCCAAGGGGCAAAGGGAAGGCACGAAGCTCCAGCTGTCCCACCTGGCTGTCAGGTACTAGAAGTTCTCAAGTATGGAGCTTGGGACGAATTTGTATTCCAACTCCCTTGAGTGAATAACGAGGTTTGTCTCTGAAGACTCCTGAGAAGGCAGCTTCCATGAGCAAAGGCAAACAGCTTTTATCTTTCCAGAAAGGGCCAAAGGGCCAAATGAAAACGCTAAAGCATCCGGGAAAGTGATATCCAACGAGCAGCAACTGTCTGATGACCTCCCATGCATGAGGTAGGTGGTAGTGCCCCAGCAGGGCACAATCACCCACACTCACTTCCTGTGACCCGTAAGCATTTACCTGTTGGGTCCTCCGAGGAGAGTCAGTGCCATCTGACTAGCACACACGCCTGTCATCTCCAGTCTGCGCTCCAGAGTTAATCCGTGCTTCTCAGCCACAGATAACAGCTTTTTATGCAGCTCATAGGAAACACTTGGGACAACCAGGCCAGAATCTGCAATTCAAGAGAAGGTAAGGAGAAAAAGGGAAAGTGATTACAGGAAGCCAGGTCCACAAATGGGTTTATCCAACCCAGGTTTCTGTGAAAGCCAAGGCTGGCCCTCCCAGGCCCACGTGGGAGGTCGAGGCATGCTCTGCAGCTCTCCGGAACTCAAGCACAGGGCAGGGGACTACGTAAACTGTTCTGCTCACAGAGCAGAGTGGACTTAAGTTCTCTTGGTAGGCTAGCTTTAGACCATTAAGGGTTAAATCATCAGGATGGATGAGATACAACCAAGAAAAGGCTGGCAGAGAGCGCGTAAAAGCAACCTGTCAATTACATCAGAAGAAAACAGGTTTTTTCCCTAAATGGGAGAAATGTCATCCCCGGCAGGAGTGTCCTTATCCTTCCTGAGATGTGGAACGGCCACTAGCGAATCCTGCTGACCTTCTGTGCCCCGCTGTTTCATTTCAAGGCAGGTTGAGTGACTTGTCCCATCTGGTCCCCACTTCCTCTTCCTACTCCTCTCTTCTACTAGTCTTCCTCTCTGCTTATTAACAAACTCAACTAGCATTTTGTCTTCTCAAATAATTTGTCATTTTCTCGCCTTTCAGGGTGAGTATAATCCAATAATCATACAAGGCAAGAATACACAGAAATAACCTATGACTTGCTTCAGGCCACCTAGAAGAATCATGAAAATATTACTTGTCATAAACACTATAAAAGTTAGGGAGAATTACAATCATGCAAAGTACCTGATTTTACCAAACTAAAATCTATAGCAATTGCCATACTTCATCTACCAGTATCAACACACATCAAATGCCACTTCAGGGGGTCCGGGCAGGAAAGAAACAGGAAAATCAAAACTTGTGATCTGACATGGGTAGTTCTTGCCCTTGACAACCAATGCTGCCGTCCAACAGGGAATGGCAACAGAGCAGATGCTTTACCAAACAGCCCCTTACCCTCTGGAATCGTGGATTCCAGCTAGTAAGTCAGCATGTGATAGCATGTAACCAGTTTTTGGCTGGCAAGATCAGAAGGCTTTTTAGATTCTGCGTCTCCATCTACACTATACTGTAAACTCAAAAGTAGGGAAATAAACCTTTTACTTCTCCAGCCTCTACCTCCTCAATTTGAATCAGCTATATTTATCAAGAGAGATGAGCTCTCATCAGATACTCAAACAAACATGATGCAACCCAGTGCTATTTCTAAGTCTGGCTTAACTCGAAGGTGAAAATTCTCGGGAAGTTCTCATCCCATTGGTTCAAAGGTCTACATAAAAAAAGTTGTCTTCCGGCTCTCCCTGGTGGCGCAGCGGGTTAAAGCACTGCACTACAAAGCTTAAGCATGAGTTCGATTCCCGCCTAGCCCCGGAGGAGTCCACATGGCGAGGCAGATCTCTCCTGACCCGCCCGCTGCTCCCCTCAGCAGTGTGCTTCGTCGATCTGCCTGTTCTGCTCCCCACTCTGTCTCTGGTGAATCCTCTCACCCTCC